ATTAGCAAATAAATTCAATCGATAATCACTAACGAAAGTTGTAAGAAAATAATTTTATTTTTATTTATTTTGGATAAAAATGAATTGATTGATGGATGTATGTCAATGATTGATGGATGTAAATGTAAATATGTTATTTATAGCTGATTAATGAATTAATTTAAAGTTGTGTGTGTGTGTGTGTGTGTGTGTGTATGTATTATTTGTGTGTGAGAGAAAAATGAAGAGAGAGAGGATAGAAGGAAACGATAGAAAAAGAGTGAAGAGAATATGGAAATGATGGAGGAAGATTGATTTAAAAATTAAGATGATGAGATTTAATCGATTAATAATATTAAAAATAATTTAATGAATTTGAGATTGATTAGAAATCAGAAAGCTTAAATTTTTTTTGTAAAAGATTAAAAAAAATCTTTAAATAATTACATATTTGGACGAAAGGAAAAAAAAAAGATCATCAAAGAAAAGTATTTTGTATCAGTCGGTCAATTAATTACTGGTACATCTGTTTACGCATATGTAGCAGATTAACAATACAATAAACCTAATATTTTAATTAATTAGAAATTATTATCTTCACATTACATAATTCCATCGTCATAATTTTTAAAACATAAAAAATAAAACGGTTAATTTATCTAAATATGAATTCATTCATTCATTATTTTTTTTTTCTCGCTTTGTTTCCTTTTGTAATCTTCTAAAAAAAGTAATTTAAATGCAGAGAAAATCTAAAAAACGCGCGACAATTCATAAAAAAAGGAGTCGTTATATTGAGGTTTCGGGGGTAATAAATGATTATCCGTATCACCACTGGCGGTATGTAAAATTCGACTGTGCCATACATACAAGTTTGTTAATCATTCACGACAATCTGCAGATAGTTTCCATATTTGATTAGAACGCGGCCATTCTGGGCATTGAATTTTGGGATGCGTTACAAATTAGAAATTATCCAATCACATTTTAGTTACACATAAATAATGGCGCGCTATATCGACTCGTGGTAAATTAGATGTAGCACAAAGACATATATGGATTTGATGGATTTGGAATAAGCCAGCATAAAAATACAAAGGTATGACAATATGCTGTAAGTTTTGGATTTGTACAAAAATGTAAAACAAATGTAGAGACAAATAAGTTTGTAAATTTTAAATTGTAAAAAAATTGACAATCAATTATTTTTTAATCGAGTTGCATTTAATTTAATTGTATATATATTATTTTATATAACATGATAACAGGCAAGTATATTAATATGAATGGAATGTTTTGATATTGTTGTGATCAATTAAGTTCATTTATTTATATTGTTTTTTTTTCCAATTATTATAAATTCATAATAAACAAAAATAAAAATATTGTGCAATGAATGTTGTTAAATGTATAAAAGTAACAGTTCTCCAAACATTTTCTTGTAATTATTTTTTGTACAAATAATTAAAAATATTTTGAACCAACGACTTGAAATTTTTTCTTGTTAATCATTTTTATTTGTGATCTATTTGATAATTAATTTAAATATAAATTTAAATTTAAATTTATATTTATATTTACGTTTATGTTTATTTACTTTATTATTACTTTATTTTTTTAATTCTTTAACTCTTTATATTACTTTGTCTTCTCTTCGGTTTTATTTCTTCTTTGCACTTTTTTCTTTATTCTCTTTCTCTCCCTATCTATATATCTTTTCTTTCTTACTCTACAAAAAATAATGGCTTGCAAAACCATTACAAAAACATCATTATTCACTTCCAGCAATAATAAAAATAATAAAACAACTACTTTATCACTCACTTTAACTCCTTCACTAAATGAAAGGGAAATAAACGTGAGATTAACGAAAATATTTACGAAAATTGGCCAGCTTGACATAGCACAACAAGTAAGATATTTGTTTAAACATACTTCTTCTTATTACCAAAACTGTTAATTCCTTCCTTCTCTTATTTATTTAATCTTCTTTTAAATTTTCCTTTTTTCATTATTATAGGGAATTCAAGATTTACACGACTTTTTAATCGAGTATCCTGAATGTGACGTAAAAGTAAACGCATTTGAAATAACTACACGAGAAATGAAGGCACGTGGAATGATACAACAAGATTCCACGGATAATGTTGCCATTGCTAACAATAGCAGCAATAATATCAAATCAGTCACATCCACGACGACGATACCAGCATCATCAATAATATCATCAATTAAAAAGTCCACTCCACTATCAATATCAAAGAAACCAAAACTTCACAAGATAAATACGAGCAGATTCTCATCTAGCTCAACATCA